CACTCCCTGCATGCCGTTAAAACACCCCTGCATGTCTTTTTACACCCCTAAACCCGGGTCACACTCCCTGCAGGGCTTTTAACACTCCCGCATGGCTGTTACAACCCCCCAACATGTCGCTAAAACCCCCGGGCTGTCTGCTAAAAACCCCCCTCATGCGGGCTACACCCCCCTTTAAACCCTTTGCTAAAACCCTTTTAAATTTTTCAAACATCCCGCATCCTTTTCTACCCCCCTTTCATCCCCTTTTACACCCCTCCCTCCCTCCTGCTACACACCCCTGCATCCCCTCACACTCCCTGCACCCTTCCCTAAAAACTCCCATTTTCCTGCTACCCCTCCCTCATGCCTGCTACAACTCCCTGCATCCCCTGCTAACCTCCTTAAACCCTGCTACACCCCTGCATGCGCTAAAACCCCTGAAATGCCTGCTCACCCCCCCTGCATGTGTGCTACACTCCCGCATGTGTGCAAAACTCCCTGCAGGCTGTTTACATTTTCCCCCTGAAATGCCGCAAAAATTTCCCTTTAAATGTCTGCACACTCCCACCTTTTTCCACACCCCCCCATGCCGGGCAAAACCCCCTGCATCCTCCCTCCCTCCCTTGCATCCTTTCTACACTCCCGGGCAGGGTCTGCAACACTCCCTGCATTCTGCTACACTCCCTGCTTTGCCTGCTACCTCCCCTGAAACCCTTCACACTCCCTGCATGTCGCAAACACCCCTGCATGCCCCCCAACACTCCCTGCATCCTCCCAAACACTCCCTGCATGCCTGCTACATTTCCCGCATCCTGCTACACCCCTGCTTGCCTTTAAAATCCCCATCCCTCCCACACCCCCTTGCATCCCTCCCTAAAAAACCCCCGCATGTCGCTACACCCCCTTTCCATGTCTGCTACACTCCCGGGCTTTCCTGCTACACCCCCCTTTTTTCTGCAACCCCCTTTGCATGTCGGGCTACACTCCCTGCATTCTGCTACACTCCCCTGCATGCCTACACACTCCCTGCATGTCTGCAAAGCAACCCCTCCCTGCATGCCTGCTACACCCCCGATCCCCCGCCCCATCCCTTTCTACACACCCTGCATGCCTGCTACCTCCCTGCATCCCTGCACACTCCCTGCATGCCTGTAACAATGTCCCGAAAACTCCCGGCACCCCCAGCAAACCCCCCCCCCTGATGCCTGTCCCACCCCCTGAAAGCCTGAATCCACCCCCCTGCATGTCTGCAAACACTCCCTGATCCCTGCTACACTCCCGCATGCCTGCAACCAATCCCTGCATTTTCGCTAAAACCCCTCAGGGCCTCTCCACTCCCTGAAAAAGGGTCTCTAAAACCTCCCTGCATGTCTGCAACCCCCCTTCCCTGCAATTGGCCCTACACCCCCTGCATGTGTTTCAACACCCCCTTTCATGCGGCAACATTTCCCTGCATGCTGCTCCCTTTGACCTCCCTGCCCTGTCCGGCTCCCACTCCCGCTTTCCTACACTCCCTGCTTTGCCTGCTACACTCCCTGCATGTCTGTTTCCACTCCCTGCATGCCTGCAACACTCCCTGCATTTTCTGCTAAAACTCCCTGCGCCTGCACACTCCCTGCACCCTGCTACACTCCCTGCATGTCTGCTACACCCCCTCAACCCCGCTACACCCCCGCATGCCGCTACACTCCCGAAATGCCGGGTACACTCCCCTTGCATGCCTGCTACACTCCCTCATGTCGGGCTACACCCCCTGCAGGGCCTGCTACACCCCTCCCTCCGCAAACCCCCTCCCTCCCATGCCTGCAAAAACCCCTGCATGTCGCAACACTCCCTGCATGCCTGCTACACTCCCTCTGCCGCTACACCCCCTGCATTTCGGCAAAACACCCCCTTTCAGGGGCCTGCAAACACCCCCCTGCTTTCGTACTCCCCCTCATGCCTGCCCCCCTGTTTCTGCTACACCCCTGCATGCCTGTTTACACTCCCTGCATGTCTGCTACACTCCCGCAGGCCTGCTACACCCCCTGAAATGTCTCAAACACTCCCTAAACCCCCTTCTAAAAACCCCCCGCACCCCCTGCTACACTCCCTGCATGCCTGCTACCCCCCTGTTTTCCTGCACATCCCGCTTTCCTGCAACACCCCTTCCCCTCATGCTCCCTCACACTCCCGCATTGTCTGCACACCCCCTTTGCAGGGGCCTGCTACACCCCCTGAAAGGCCCTGCTACACCCCCCTGCTTTCCCTTGCAACCTCCCTGCATGCCTCAACATTTCCCTGAAAGGTCTGTAAAACTCCCCTGCTGCCCACACCCCCTAAATGTCCCCTACACCCCCGGCATGTTTTCAAAACTCCCGAATCCCGGGCAAACACCCCTCATCCTGCTACACCCCCTTTAAACCTCAACCCCCCCTTTGGCATTTTCCTGCAACCTCCCTCATGCCGCAAACACTCCCTGCATGCCTGCCCCCCGCCCCTAACCTCCCTGCATGCCTGCTCCACCCCCTTTACCCTCCCCCTGAAAGGCCTGCTACACTCCCGCATGCTCTACACCCCCCTGAAATGCCTGCTAAAACCCCCTGCATGCCCTAACACTCCCTCAAGCCTTACCCCCACCCAACCCCCCTCATTCTGCTCCCACCCCTGAATTGGCCGGCTACACTCCCTGCATGCCTGCTAAAACCCCTCCCTGCATTTAAACCCCCCTTAACACCCCCTGCATGTCGCTCCACTCCCGCATGCCTGCAAACACTCCTGCATGTCTCCCAACATTTCCCGGGCATGCCTCTACACTCCCTGCATGTCGGCTACACCCCCTGCAGGCGCTAACCCCCCCTCCCAATTTGCATCCCTTACACTCCCGCATGCCTGCACACCCCCCCTTGCATGCCTCCCTACATTTTCCCCCGCATGCCTCTACACCCCGGGCATGCCTCTACCCTCCCTGCAAGCCTGCTACACTCCCTGCATGCCGGGCTACACTCCCTGCTGTTTCAACACCCCCCTGCAGGGCCTGTTTACCCCTCCCTGAAATGCCTCTACAAACTCCCCGCATGTCGGAAAACACTCCCTGCTGCTGTACACTCCCTCCCATCCCCCGCTACCCTCCCTGCTTTGTCCTTTCCCCAAAAGGGGCCTCACCCCCCGATGCCTGCTACACCCCCTGCATGCCTGCCCCCCTCCCTGTCCCTTCATGTTTTGAAACACCCCCTTTAAATCCTGTAAAACTCCCTGCATCCCTTTAAAACACCCCTGCATCCTGCTACACCCCCCAATGCCCTACACCCCCCGAAAGCCTGTTTACACTCCCTGCATGTCCCCTACCCCTCCCGGCATGCCTGCTACATACACTCCCCCTGGCATGCCTTTTACACTCCCTCTTGCCTGCTAAAACCCCCCTGCTTTGCTGTACACCCCCCGCATGCCTGATACACCCCCTTTTTCCCTACATCCTTATTTTACACTCCCTGCACCTGTACACTCCCGGAGCCGCTAAACCTCCCTGAAATTTTTGCCCCACTCCCTGCATTCCTCAAACATTTCCCGGGAAAGCCTGCTAAAAAACTCCCGCATGCCTGCAAAACCCCCCTGTTTTCCTCCTACACCCCTGATGCCTGTAAAATCCCTGAAATGCCTGCTAAACTCCCTGCTCCTTTGATACACTCCCACATGCCTGCTACACCCCCTGAAATGCCTGAAAACCCCCCTGCAGCCTGCCTCCCCCTGCTTGCCCTGAACACCCCCTTTGCAGGGCCTGAACACTCCCGGGCACCTCTACAAAAAAACTCCCTGCTTTCCGCAACACCCCTGCAGGGCCTGTAAAATTTCCCTGCATGTCGCAAAACACCCCCTCCCGCCGTTACACTCCCTAAATCCCTGCTACACCCCCCTCATGCCTCAAAAAACTCCCCCCTGCCTGCTACCCCTCCCGGGCAGGCCTGCTACACCCCCTGCATGTCTGCTACACTTCAAAACTTAAAAAACCTGGTTTTTTTCTCATTTTTCTTTTACTAAAATTTTCTTTGGAGCCTTTACTTTTTTTGGGCCAGTTTGAAACGGGCAAAAAATCCATAAAAAAAAGGGAAAACAACAAAATTTTTTGTGAAATGTTAAAAAACCGTTTCCCCTCGAAATCGAGAGCCCCCAAACAGCGAAACTGAGCACAAGGGGCCCCACCTGGGGAAACGATGCGCCCCGAAGCGGGCCGATGACCGAAATAAGGGCTGATCACCGGGAGCCGAAGAACCGGCCAATAACCGAGTTGGCCGACAACAGGAATGGCCGGTAACTGAGGGTCCACTGTATAACTTTTGATTCCCTAAAAACTTAGCTACTAATGGCCAACTGATGACTGGAAACCTCACCAATAACATAAACAGTCGATTAACAAATATTTTATATGTAATATATACTGTATTCTTACAATACAGTAAGCTAGAGAGAAGAAAATGTTATGAAGAAAATCGTCAGGAAGAGAAAATACATTTACAGTGTTTGTCAGTACCCATTTCAATATTGTCTTACGTGATACAAAACACGTAGCAACACACATTAACACTCTTCAAAAAAACGTTAATAAGACATGGCATTAGCAAGTCCCTGGGGTCTGCCATGCTGTCTGCTCTAGCTGCTGCTCAATTGAACTGGTACTAAGTGGTCTTAGATTTTTTAATACTGCATACACTGAGTGTTAAGACCCATTGATATTGCCTAGGCCTATCAGGCCTCTGGTGCCAAATTTGGAGGCAAGAAAAGTAGTGCACTGATCTATGTCTGGAGTGCTAGCAGTAGTACATATTCTAGAGTTTGACAATTAAAGGGTTAATAACATAATAATAATTTGGGACTTTATAGTTCTTAAACACCTATTCTTTCCAGAAATTTACAGGCACTCATATATTAACTCACAATTGCAACAACTTCAACAAAAAGGAGTACGTACTAAAGTTGCCTTCAAGAGCGATAATAAGATCAATAAACTTCCTCTCTGCAATTTTGTTTCTTTTACTAATTTATCAATGGACAAAAAATTAAAAAACATAGCAAACCTGATCAAACTCCTTGCTTGTGATATTTAAATGAAGATTTCCATCTCCTATGTGACCATAGCCACAACAGCGGATGACTGCGGTGCCCAGATGCTGCCGCATATCCTCAACCATCTTGTAGAAATGAGGCAATGGTAAGGAGATATCATACCTGCAGAAATATTATGTTCATATCAATCATCAATCCCTTATTACCCTTCAAGGGGAGGTGGTGAAGGGATGGGGGGGTTTGATTTTGTTTGTATTTTTAACCCCGGAAGGTTAGCCACCCAAGATAACCCAAGAAAGTCTGTGTCAACAAGGACTGTCTGTTATATTTCCATTGGGGTCCTTCAATCCTGTCCTCCAGGATGCCACTCACACTAGTCCACTAACACACAGGTACCTACTTGCTTGCTAGGTGAACAGGGACAGTAGGTGTAAGGAAACAAGCCCAATGTTTCCACCCTTGCCGGGATCAAACCATGGACATTGTGTGTGTGTGTGTGTGTGAGGCAAGTGTGTTGCCAATCAGGCCACGGGACACCGTGCTCCACAGGCTCGTGATCTGAGAAACTGAAACTACCCTCGTCTTCCTTGTATTAAGTCCGATTATCTCTCATTTTTCAGGTGCTATATTTATTTATTTATTAATTTGAACATGATACAGAGAAGTACAAAGGAATACAGTTATTAAAGTGCAACATGCCAAAGCCCCTTGTATGCAGAGCATTATGGGCAGGCTTAAAATTAACTTAAGATTAACTAAGCAATGATATATTCAGTGGTAAAAACATTATTGTAAACAGATAACAATTTAGCACAAATGAGTATTACAAAGACAGGTCATATGGTCATTTACTGTGTTGCTGAGCATTCAGTAGAATGGAGTATTCTGTTAGGTAATGTAAATTAAAAAATAACAAAGTTTGATTGGGTCACAGGTTAGACATTTATGAGATACAATAATGAGAAACATTTATGAGATACAATTTATGAGATACAATTATTCAGTATTTATTTAGTTGTGGGTGAGTAAGTGATCTTTGAGAAGAGACTTGAATTTATAAACAGACAGTGTTTCTTTTATATTCACAGGTAATGAATTCCAGATTTTAGGGCCTTTTATGTGCATTGAGTTTTTGCATAGTGTGAGATGGACACGAGGAACATCAAAGAGTGATCTGTGCCTTGTGTTATGGTCATGTGTTCTGTTGAGGTTGGTAAGGAGATATTTGAGGGAAGGGTTTATATCAGAGTTAAGTGTTCTATGTTTGTAGTAGGTGTAGTAAAAAGTATGGATGTTTTGTATGTTGAGTAGGTTTAGAGTTTTGAATATTGGTGGAGTGTGCTGCCTGTAGTGGGAATTTGTTATCATTCTGACTGCAGCCTTTTGTTGGGTAATTAATGGTCTGAAATGGTTTATTGTTGTTGAGCCCCATGCACAAATTCCATAGGTGAGATAGGGGTAAATAAGTGAGTGATATAGGGCCAGGAGGGCTGACTGTGGAACATAGTACCGTATCTTCGATAGTATGCCTACGGTCTTGGAAATTTTTTGGGAAATTTGTTGTATGTGTGTTTGAAATTTGAGCCTATTATCAAGGTGGATTCCTAAGAATTTTCCCTCTGTGAGTTTTGTGATAGGTGATCCGTTTATCATTATGTTAAGAGGGACGTCTGTAGCTCTGTTACCAAACTGAGTGAAGTAGGTTTTGTCAATGTTTAGAGTAAGTTTGCTAGTCCTCATCCAGGTAGATATTTTCTGTAATTCGGTATTCACAGTATTGGCTAGCGTGACTGGGCTCGGGTGAGAGAAGATGTATGTAGTGTCATCTGCAAATAGTGTGGGTTTGTGTAGTTGCGATGCATTTGGTAGATCATTTATGTATATTATGTATATGATCCCTAAGGGATTAGTGTTTCCCCATCATCATCATAATAATAATATTAATGTAAACAACAAATGCAAACCATAAAACAGTTTTATTATGCAGGTTTGATGTTTGAATTCTTAAATAGTGTATATACAATAATCTATCATATCTATTGTGTGCATAAGGATTACAACTGCAAACAAACCCTTTAAGGGTTTCCTCTTGAAGGGTTTGCCTTGAAGATAGTGAAGGGCTCTTGATTCAGGGAATTGAAACTACAATACCCTATGCTTTCTTGGATTAAACACAATCCTGTATTTAAAAATATCAGGTGCTCAACTGGAAATACAAACTCACTATTGCAAAGCAATAACATGCAACAAACACAGTGACTCACTTGTGTACGTAGCCTTCAATTACTAATGACTCGGAAATTCTCTCCCTGATGTTCCATAGGTTTTGCATTCTAGACGGCTCTGTTGCTATTGTACCGTCAGTAACCTTGCCAGATTCTAATGCCTCTTCCATGAAGGTATTCAATTTCTCTTCATCGTGTGTGCTATTAGATCCTGGAAATAAAGTACAGTATCATCAAACAGATTACAAGTGCTTCTCAATTTACAATACAGCCTCTCCTCATTTAGTGGCGTACTTGTTTACTGCTAACTCGGACTTACGATGGGCTCTCTGACCAGTACGCATACCTAAATAATGTATATTAAAGCTGATTTCCTCTATTCTGTTTATTACAATATACAGCACACTACTGTATAAACATTTAAAAATATACCGAAATGTTATAAATGATGCAAAGGTGACATTAAAACATTATCAAAGATGGTTGACACACACCCACTACCATTTTAGTATGCTCCTCCCTTAGCGACGAATTTGTTTACCGACGTGGTATTAGGAACGGAACTCCATCGTAAGGAGAGGCTGTATAATAAAAAAGAAGCACTAGACCTAGAAGGGTCATACAATGACCTAAAAAGGTTAGACATGGTACAGTCATCGCTCTCAAAAATCTCTGCTATGCAATGCATTTTTTTGTTAATGTGATTGAAAAGGGGCATTAAAAGGCCTTCATAGTACTTGCTATTCAATTTCTGATGCATTTTTTCAATTTCATTTACAAAATTTTGTACTAGATATAAGAGAGTTGACTGTATACAGCCTCTCCTCATTTAACAACGGAGTTCCGTTCCTAAGAAAACGTCGGTAAACAAATTCGTCGCTAAGCAAGGAGCATATTATAATGGTAGTGGGTTTGTGTCAACCATCTTCAATCAATTTTAATGTCACCTTTGCATCATTTATAACATTTCTGGTATATTTTTAAATGTTTATACAGTAGTGTACTGTATATTGTAATAAACAGAATAGAGGAAATTGGCTCTAATATACTACAGTGGACCCCCGCCTTATGAACGCATCGTGTTACGTTAAATCCATCATACGATGCATTTGAACACAAAAATTTTGCCTCTCCTCATGATCAAAAACTCGCCTTACATGATTCGTACGGGACGTGTCCCACGTGTTGTCTCAGCTGCCCCGTGGGTGCCAGTGTTTACAAGCCAGCCAGTGCGGTCGCATCTAAGCATACATTTGGTACATTTCATATTATCACAGTGTTTTTAGTGCTTGTAACTGCAAAATAAGTCACCATGGGCCCCAAGAAAGCTTCTAGTGCCAACCCTGTGGTAAAAATTGTGAAAATTACTATGGAAATGAAGAAAGAGATAATTGCTAAGTACAAAAGTGGAGTGCGTGTCTCGGAGCTGGCCAGGTTGTATACCAAACCCCAATCAACCATTGCTACTATCTTGGCCAACAAAACGGCAATCAAGGAAGCTGTTCTTGCAAAAGGTGCAAGTTTGTTTTTGAAACAGAGATCGCAAGTGATAGAAGATGTTGAGAGACTGTTATTGGTGTGGATAAACGAAAAACAGATAGCAGGAGATAGCATCTCTCAGGCGATCATATGTGAAAAGGCTAGGAAGCTGCATGACGATTTAATTAGAAAAATGCCTGCAACTAGTGGTGATGTGAGTGAATTTAAGGCCAGCAAAGGTTGGTTTGAGAGATTTAAGAATCGTAGTGGCATACATAGTGTGATAAGGCATGGTGAGGCTGCCAGTTCGGACCAAAAAGTGGCTGAAAAATATGTGAAGGAATTCAAGGAGTACATAGACAGTGAATTGAAACCTGAACAAGTAATTGCGATGAAACAGGCCTGTTTTGGAAGAAAATGCTAAGCAGGACCTACATTACTCAGGAGGAAAAGGCACTATCAGGACATAAGCCTATGAAAGACAGGCTTACTCTTTTGATGTGTACTAATGCTAGTGGTGATTGCAAAGTGAAGCCTTTATTGGTGTACCACTCTGAAACTCCCAGAGCGTTCAGGCAAAACAATGCCCTCAAGGTTAATTTGTGTGTGCTGTGGAGGGCAAACAGTAAGGCATGGGTCACTAGGGACTTTTTCTATGACTGGTCACACCATGCATTTGCCCCCACTGAAAAATTACCTAATGGAAAAGAAATTGGACCTTAAGTGCCTCCTGGTATTAGACAATGCTCCTGGTATTAGACAATGCTCCTGGTCATCCTTCAGACGTGGCAGAGCGACTATCTGGGGACATGAGCTTCTTTAATGTTAAGTTTTTGCCTCCTAATACCACTCCTCTCCTGCAGCCCATAGACCAGCAGGTCATTTCAAACTTCAAAAAACTCTACACGAAAGCTATGTTTCAAAAGTGCTTTGAAGTGACCTCAAACACTTGACTGACTCTAAGAGAGTTTTGGAAAAGAGCACTTTAGTATCCTCAGTTGTGTAAACCTTATAGGTAAGGCTTGGGAGGGAGTGACTAAGAGGACCTTGAACTCTGCTTGGAAGAAACTGTGGCCAGAATGTGTAGAAGAAAGGGATTTTGAAGGGTTTGGGGCTAACCCTGAGAAGTGTATGCCAGTTGTGGAATCCATTGTGGAATTGGGGAAGTCCTTGGGGTTGGAGGTTAGTGGGGAGGATGTGGAAGAGTTGGTGGAGGAGGACAATGAAGAACTAATCACTGATGAGCTGCAAGATCATCTTCAACAGCAAGAGGCCAGTCCTGAGTAAACTGCTTCAGAGGAGGGGAGAGAGAAATTGAGGAAGTTGCCTACTTCAAAGATTAACCCTTTCAGGGTTTCGGCCATACTAGTACGGCTTACGCCCCAGGGTTTTTGACGTACTAGTACACCTAAATTCTAGCGCCCTCAAATCTAGTGAGAGAAAGCTGGTAGGCCTACATATGAAAGAATGGGTTTATGTGGTCAGTGTGCGCAGTATAAAAAAAATCCTGCAGCACATGGTGCGTAATGAGAAAAAAAAACTTTGTGTTTTTGGATTAAAGCAGTGATTGGCACTGTATTTTCGTATGGTATTTATTGCTGTATTCTAGTTTTCCTGGTCTCATTTTATAGAAAGTGAAAGTTTTTCTTTTTCGGGCCACCCTGCCTTGGTGGGAATCGGCCAGTGTGATAATAAAAAAAAAAAAAAAATAATAAAAAAGACATATTACAGAAATTGAGATGATTTTGACTCGTTTTACAATGAAAAGTACCTTGAAATTGAGCTCAAAGTAGCAGAAATGTTCAATTTTTACCGAAGTTTAAAAGTAAACAAATCATGCCAAGCGTCCAATACACATCAACTGGTGAGTCTAATATTCTTTCTCAAGTGCGCTGATATTATTTATACCATTTCTACACTAATGCAGTAGTCTGCATAACAGTAAATCTTTTTTGTAAGGATAAAAATTCAAAGTGAAAAGCCAAAGAAATATAAGAGGGGCGTGGGGATGTGACTAACGAACAGAGAAAATGTTATTTTAGTGCCAGGAATGTCTGTCTTGTTTATTCTGGACCCTATTTGGAAATTGGCATCTTTTGAAATTTGTGTGAAATTGGCAAAATTGCTAAATTCTGACCACTTTATTGGATAGTTGAAATTGGTAAATGGGTGGTTTCTTGTACTCATTCAATAGAAAAAAATGGAGTTCTAGCGAAATAGTTATGATTTTTGTCGACTAGTACACTGGAATTGGCCGAAAATAGGGCTCAAAGTGGGCAAAAATCGCCGATGTGTAAACATCGTCGAGACCGCTAACTTCGCGAGAGCATAATTCCGTAAGTTTTCCATCAAATTTCATACTTTTGGTGTCATTATGATTGGGAAAAGATTCTCTATCTTTTCATAAAAATAATTTTTTTTTTTAAAATTTGGGGACCCTGAGAACAAGTCTCGGAGAGGGCCTGGGGACCCTGAAAGGGTTAAGGAAATGTGTGCAAAATGGGTTGAACTGAAAACTTTTATGGATGAAAATCACCTTGACACAGCTACTGCAAGCCGTGTTGGCAACCTGTAAAATGACAATGTTACGGCCCATTTTAGAAAAGTCTTAAAGGAACAGGAGGTACAGAGATCTGTGGACAGATTTGTTGTGCGACAGAGGTCCAGTGACTCTCAAGTTGGTCCTAGTGGCATTAAAAGAAGAAGGGAAGTAACCCCAGAAAAGGACTTGCTACCTTAAGTCCTAATGGAAATGGATTCCCCTTCTAAACAATAACTTCCACACTGTGATGAATGGTTTGAAAAACCGATAAGTTGAAGATTGAGACACTTATGCACCATATGGGAATCTTTATTTAGGAAACGTTTCGCCACACAGTGGCTTCATCAGTCCAATACAAAGAGGAAGGCGTAAGGAGAGGAGGAGTATATAGGTAATCAGTCCCTCAACCTGGAGTCGATGTGTTCAGTCCATCAATCTTGTAGAATGTACAGCATAGGGCCGTAGACGTGGCTTTTATACTGTAGTGAGGTGAGGTGAAGCAGGCGGAGGCGGGGTCATAGTGGTACCATCCACTAGTCGAAGTAGGTCTTCGTCACTACAGTATATAAGCCACGTCTATGGCCCTATGCTGTACATTCTACAAGATTGATGGACTGAACACATCGACTCCAGGTTGAGGGACTGATTACCTCATACTCCTCCTCTCCTTATGCCTTCCTCTTTGTACTGGATTGATGAAGTCACTGTGTGGCGAAACGTTTCCTAAATAAAGATTCCCATATGGTGCATAAGTGTCTCAATCTTCAACTTGTCGGTTTTTCAAACCATTCATCAAAGTCAGACACTGCAGCATATGGGATCTTGTACAAAGAATTCTTCAACACTTGTTCAACCTTTGGACGAAGACCTACTTCGACTAGTGGATGGTACCACTATGACCCCGCCTCCGCCTGCTTCACCTCACCTCACTACAGTATATAAGCCACGTCTACGGCCCTATGCTGTACATTCTACAAGATTGATGGACTGAACACATCGACTCCAGGTTGAGGGACTGATTACCTCATACTCCTCCTCTCCTTACGCCTTCCTCTTTGTATTGGACTGATGAAGCCACTGTGTGGCGAAACGTTTCCTAAATAAAGATTCCCATATGGTGCATAAGTGTCTCAATCTTCAACTTCCACACTCATCACCAGATCTTCGATCAAGGTAAGTGTCATGTATTCTATTCTTAGTAGAGTAGTAACTGTGCATGTCTTCTTCAGTTTGTGTGTATTAAAATTAATATTTCATGTGGTAAGAATTTTTGTTTTTTTTTCATAATTAGGGGTGTCAGAACGGATTAATTTGATTTCCATTATTTCTTATGGGGAAAATTAATTCAGCTAACGATAATTTCGGCTTACGATGAGCTCTTAGGAACGGATTAATATCATAAGGCGGGGGTCCACTTTACATTATTTAGGGACAATGTATACTGGTCAGAGAACCCGTCGTAAGTCTGAGTCGTCAGTAAACAAGTATGTTCGTCACTAAGTGAGGAGAGGCTGTATAGTGGAGCTTCATTACAGAGAAATGATTATATAAAAGAAGCTTCAAAAGAGAGCTGACTGTATACAAAGAAGCTTCAAAAGAGACCTGACTCTATATAAGAGAGCTTCAAGAGAGAGCCGACTGTCCATCAAAGTTTACAACAAACCTGAAGTCTCAATCAACATATAAAATGGGTGGGCACTAATGGGTGACTTCAGCTTCAAGTTCTTCTCCACACATTCAAGGGAACTTGCGTCGATGAACTCACAGGAGCTCAGGATCTCTCCGAGTTTGCTTTTCACATCCTTGTAGATACTGAGGACGTCTTCGAACGTCTGAAGGCCAAAGAAGGCCAGGTTTACTGCCTGTGGTCTTGAAGGGCAATTGATGGCAACCTGAAAGGGCAAAGTTAAAATTGTATTCTTACTGCCTGCACTTGCGATATACAGTACGACCCCCGTATCTGTGGGGATACATTTGAAGGACCTGCCATGGATACCAAAACCATGAAGAGTAACAAACCCGATATAGAAGTCCTATGCATCCCTATTATAAAGTTCAATTGATAAATTATGTACAAGAAGTGGAGATTCATAACTTTTTCACTGATGGGAAGCACTTCACGTCTGCTCTCAGGCTTTGAAGAGCTCCTAGCTTCTGTACTTTTGCATTTCTGGGTTATTATTATTATTATTATGCAAAATTAAGGGTTATTTTCGAGCCACAGTAAACTATGGATAATTGAAACCACGGATCCCAAATCAGTGGATATGGAGCTTCTATTGTATGGCCTTTTCTGTCGCCAAACATTAATGGGGTATTAAATGAAATCAGTTAGCAGGACTTGAGTCCTGGAGGTAGGAAGTACAGTACCTGCACTCTGAAGGATGGGTTATGGTGGTGGTGGGAAGTACAGTACCTGCACTCTGAAGGATGAGTTATGGTAGCAGGTACAGTACCTGCACTCTGAAGGATGGGTTATGGTGGTATGTACAGTACCTGCACTCTGAATGATGGGTTATGGTGGTGGTGGGAAGTACAGTACCTGCACTCTGAAGGATGAGTTATGGTAGCAGGTACAGTACCTGCACTCTGAAGGATGGGTTATGGTGGCAGGTACAGTACCTGCACTCTGAAGGATGGGTTATGGTGGCAGGTACAGTACCTGCACTGTGAAGGATGGGTGGTTGTGGCAAGTACAGTACCTGCACTCTGAAGGATGGGTGATGGTGGCAAGTGCAGTACCTGCACTCTGAAGGACGGGTGGTGGTGGGAGGTACAGTACCTACACTATGAAGGATGGGTTATTGTGGCAAGTACAGTACCTGCACTCTGAAGGATAGGTGGTGGTGGGAAGTACAGTACCTGCACTCTGAAGGATGGGTTATGATGGTGGTGGGAAGTACAGTACCTACACTCTGAAGGATGGGTTATGGTGGCAAGTACAGCACCTGCACTCTGAAGGATGGTGGTGGTGGGAAGTATAGTACCTGCACTCTGAAGGATGGGTTATGGTGGTGGGAAGTACAGTACCTGCACTGTGAAGGATAGGTGGTGGTGGGAAGTACAGTACCAGCACTCTGAAGGATAGGTGGTGGTGGGAAGTACAGTACCTGCACTGTGAAGGATAGGTGGTGGTGGGAAGTACAGTACCTGCACTCTGAAGGATGGTGGTGGTGGGAAGTATAGTACCTGCACTCTGAAGGATGGGTTATGGTGGTGGGAAGTACAGTACCTGCACTGTGAAGGATAGGTGGTGGTGGCAAGTACAGCACCTGCACTCTGAAGGATGGTGGTGGTGGGAAGTATAGTACCTGCACTCTGAAGGATGGGTTATGGTGGTGGTGGGAAGTACAGTACCTGCACTGTGAAGGATAGGTGGTGGTGGGAAGTACAGTACCTGCACTCTGAAGGATGGGTTATGGTGGCGGGAAGTACAGTACCTGCACTCTGAAGGATGGGTTATGGTGGGAAGTACAGTACCTGCACTCTGAAGGATGGATGGTGGTGGCAAGTACAGTACTTGAACTCTGAAGGATGGATGGTGGTGTGAAGTACAGTACCTGCACTCTTAACCCTTTGACTGTTTCAGGCCCCTCTCTGAAACTGTCATTCTATGTCGCCAAATATTCGAAAAAAAAAAAAATTATTTTTCTTATGAAAATGTTAGGAATATTTTTGTGAGTGTTTTAAGCCTAAAAAAAATTTTTTGCCATCAGTACTTACCGAGATATAGAGCCACAAAGTTTGCAGAAAGTGACGTGTGTACGGCAACAGCGGCGACTGCTGCCCACCCGGTATTCTTTTATTTACTCTAATTCAAAGGTTTCTTGCATTTTTCAATATTTTTCTGTTCCAGGTAACTTATGTGAGACCAATGTAAGGTGCATTGTTCAAATATACACTCATTGTTTACAACACAATAACAGAACAAACTTTATCATTATTAGTTTGTGTATACACTTTGTTTACACAAACAAACAATACAAAACAATGTTTATTACTATTGTTCCATAATATATATACATATGTACAGTCACTAAACACGTTCCTAGAACTGCTGCAGCTTGTGGAACTCTTTGAAACATGGGTATATGCAGAGGGGCACTTGACACTCCTCACACATAAAACGAGTGTCTCTGCGTGTTTTGTGGGCGTTTTGTGGTATGCATACATACATAACACCTCTTCTGAGCATTTTTCTTGGCAGTAGTATGGGGTAGTGATCACCAGGCCTGAAACGAGATGACGTGTGTGGGCGCTGGTCTATTGCAGGAGTTGCTCCTTGGTACTTTGCAATTATTTGTCTGATTATTGACAGGCAAAATTCAACCATATTTTGGTGTTTGTTGGTCTTCAACTTGTATATGTTTATAAGCATTTAGCATAGAGATATCAACAAGATGGAAAAAAAGTTTTATATACCACTTATAACTCTTGCGTACACAGTCTGCAAACCCAATCTGCATGTCACATTTGTCCACTAAGCGCATATTGAGGTTGTAGTCCATGACAGCTGCAGGCTTTAGAATGGGTTCATTGGTCTCTCTGTTGTCCCTGCCACTGGGTACCATTTTGTTTCTGTGAACTGATGTCAACAATGTGACATCATGTTTGTCATGCCACCGAAATGCCATGATGTCATTGGCAGCAAAGGCTTGCACCTCACCTCTGCGAGTGCCAGCGTCGAACCTTGGCATATGTTTACGATTACGACGCACTGTGCCACACACGTCTGTCAAGTTCACTCGCAAGAAATCACTGAGTAAGGGGCTTGTTGTACCAGTTATCAGTAAATAACATATGCCCCTTACCAAGATATGGTTTCATCATTGTTCGAACCACATCACCAGAGATACCCAATAACTTCATGGTATCTCTCAAAGTATTACTGCCAGTGTACACAATGATATCCAAAAACTAGACCACTTCTGCAATCACACAGTACAAATAGCTTTTACCAAAGCATTTCCTCTTGCTTGGTATATATTGCTTGAATGAGAGTCTTCCTTTGAATAAAAATCAAGGACTACATCAATACAAGCTTCCTGAAGGGATAAAAATACATGCAGCACTTTTGTTTCAGGTACATAAACACATTTCTGATCTTATATAACCTGTCGCTTCTGTCAGGCCTGGTTTTGTCTGAAAAGTGTAACATACGCAACAGTATCAGGAAACGATTGACACCTATAATGTCACTAAAACCTGGAGTTGAAATCAGGCATTCTGTTGCCCAGTATGTGGTGACAGTGTGCTTATACACATGTGGCATAAGCATTATTGTGGCAAAAAACAGGTACATCTCTGCCACAGTTGTCTTCTTCCACTTGTGTAGCCGTGATTTTGGTGAGAGAATTGTATTTGCCATGGTGTAATCACAGTATGTGTTTGTTTCCCTGACAATGATGTCCATCAGGGGTTCATCGAAGAATAACTCAAAGCAGTCCAGTTCACTGGCATTGTTCCCAAGTGGACAAGATGGCTTTATTCCACTTTGTGTTTCATCAAAGTCATGGGGACTTGGAACAAACTCGTCACCGTCCTGCCAATCCCAGATGCGGTCTGCTGGTGGGGTCTGGATATTGTACCATGGTTGTGGTTGTGCAGGTTGTGGTTGTGCAGGTTGTGGTTGTGCAGGTTGTGGGAGTGTGGGGTAGGGTGAGGCTGGATGTTGTGCAGAGTCAGCAGCGTGGGTAGTAGCGTGGCCTGCTAATAGTGCAACATGGGCCGTGCCACCCTCACTATCACCACTACTGCCTGCTCCATCACTCACATCATTCATACCCATCGTTACAATATTGTCATCTTCACTATCGGGTCGTGGTGTAGGGCCACGGGATGTGCTCCCAGAGTTTCTCCTTCCCCTTGGAACAACGTATGAAACACTACCAGACCGCATGCTACGTCGTACATACTGCCGCTTCACTGGGGAATATTCACTGTCACTGTCACTAGAACTGCTTTCAATGACCTTGAAATCACTATCACTGCTAACATCTGGGTGTTGTACACGACCAAATAGTTTCCTCTTTCGCCCTGGTACAGGCGAACGTGAACGTGAACAAGCCGGTCCAGCACCAGAGGTGGAAGGTTGTGGGTCATCTGGGTTTTCATCACTACGTTATCCTGGGCACTTTTTCCGGTAACACTCACTTCAAAACCCTGAAATTCACTGTCACTGACATTTTCATCGCTGTTAAGAGCTATCACTTGGGAACAAAAGACCTCCAATCCACCGAGGAGTGAGGAACTTCTTACCGAGAGGCATGGTGAAAATGGACTAACAACATGGCGTTCCCACAATGCACCGCTGGGTCCCAGATTTTTTTCACAGGGTGCACACCGACCACTGAGACCCATTCTCTCTCATGTAGGCCTACCAGGCCTTTCCCGCTTGATTTGAAGCCGCTAGAATTTGTGCGTATAAATACGTCAGAAACATTGGCTCGTAAGACGTATTTATACGTCGGAAACAGTCAAAGGGTTAATGATGGGTTATGGTGGTGGGAAGTACAGTACCTGCACTCTGAAAGATGGGTTATGGTGGCAAGTACAGTACCTGCACTCTGAAGGATGGTGGTGGTGGCAAGTACAGTACCTGCACTCTGAAGGATGGATGGTGGTACAAAGTACAGTACCTGCACTCTGAAGGATGGATGGTGGTGGGAAGTACAGTACCTGCACTCTGAAGAATGGGTGGTTGTGGGAAGCACAGTACCTGTACTCTGAAGGATGGATTTCAGTGGGAAGTACAGTACCTGCACTCTGAAGGATGGGTGAGGATGCTACAGTTCAGAAGAACATCTGAACTACGATATCAGCACACTCATGGCAAGATAATGACTGAACGAATGGCAGAGAATGCATCTCCTTCTTTCTGGGTCACCTGCCTTGGTGGGAAATGGCTGATTAAAAAAAAAAAAAGGGCATGAAGGATACAAAATGGTAACTAGAGAAGCAAGTGGATATAAAGACACAATGTATTTTAGACAGTCTACTGCCCGGAAATTATCATTACAAACAAGACTAAGCGCTAAACCCACAAGGGTCTCTGTCCAGAAATAAGCTCTGTTAAGTTAATCCTGAGTAAACGAGGCCTAAAGTGTATTCTTGTTTTGCATTACGTCTCCATACCCCTATGCAGTGCACGGTCTATCAACCGAGTGAAATGGATAAAGGTACCTACGTACAAATCAGGATATTAAGGGGAGTTTTGCCACTGGTACAGTGGTACTACTTATATAGCATATTAGGTTCCAGGCTACTGCTGTACAAGAGGGCCCTGCTTATACAACTGGTTAGGTTCTGGGCTACTGCTGTACAGGGGGGCCCTGCTTATACAGCTGGTTAGGTTCTGGGCTACTGCTGTACAGGAGGGCCCTGCTTATACAGCAGGTTAGGTTCTGGGCTACTGCTGTACCAGAGGGCCCTGCTTATACAGTAGGTTAGGTTCTGAGCTACTGCTGTATAGGAGGGCCCCACTTATACAGTAGGTTAGCTTCTGGGCTACTGCTATATGGAGGGCCCCACTTATGCAGCAGGTAGGTTCTGGGCTACTACTGTACAGGATAGCCACACTTATACAGCAGGTTACATTCTGGGCTACTTCTGTACAGGAGGGCCCTGCTTATACAGCAGGTTAGGTTCTGGGCTAATGCTGTAGGAAGTGCCCCATGTATACAGCAGGTTAAGTTCTGGGCTACTGCTGTACAGGAAAGCCCCACTTTTACAGCAGGCTAGGTTCTGTGTTACTACTGTATGTACCTGTACCTAAATGAACTTAATGACAAGTGACTATCATACTAAAGTGATAATTATACCTTGGTTATTAACCCGAGTGCTCCCTCTGAGCCTATGAAGAGATGCTTGAGGTCGTAGCCAGTATTGTCCTTCTTCATCACCGACAGACAATTGACTATCTCACCCGATGCCAGAACAGCCTCAACCCCCAGGACTGATCCGTGCAGGTTCCCATAGCGCAAGAGACGCAGGCCACCTAGAAATGACAAGCTGTGTTGGACGAGATAAATAATTCAGTATAATCTGCATACGGACATGTTTATGTTTGCAGAATATTTCCTCGCTGAATAATTAATAGAAGAACTTATAGTAAGTTAATATTATTATTATTATTAATACAGTAACTGCCACCTACTGCTTAGCTATTATTATTATTGTTATTATTACTGTATTACATGTACAGTGGAACCCCGAATTTTGGCCATAATCCATTCCATGTTTCAGCTTAAACCTGAAATGGCCGAAAGGTGAAGCAATATTTCCCATAAGAAATAATGTAAATATAATTAATCCGTTCCAGACCCACAAAAATATTCACAAAAAAAATATATTTTTTTAAAGAATAACTATAGTTTTACATATACAAAACACAGATAAATACATATACAGTGGACCCCCGCATAACGATCACCTCCGAATGCGACCAATTATGTAAGTGTATTTATGTAAGTGCGTTTGTACGTGTATGTTTGGGGGTCTGAAATGGACTAATCTACTTCACAATATTCCTTATGGGAACAAATTCGGTCAGTACTGGCACCTGAACATACTTCTGGAGTGAAAAAATATCGTTAACCGGGGGTCCACTGTACTAGTATACAACAAATAAATTTAAATTTAACCCTTTCAGGGTCCGTCCCGTAGATCTACGGCTTTACGTTCAGGGTCCAAACCGTAGATCTACGCCATGAGCTCAGCTCACTCTGATAAACTGTGAGTGGTACATTTTGGGCCTAGATATGAGAGAATACATCTATGTGGTATGTGTGCACCACATAAAACAGATCATGCAGCACACTGTGTATAATGAGAGAAAAAAAATGAAATCATGATTTTTCGATTAAAACAGCAACTTTGCAGTGTTTTTTCGTATGTTTTTTATAATTGTATTTGCGATTTCTTGGTCTCATTTGATAGAATGGAAGACATATTACAGAAATAGAAATGATTTTGATTGGTTTTTAGCACTGGAAATGGCTTGAAACTGAGCTCAAAGTAGCAGAAATGTTAATTTTTTGCCGATATTCAAGAGTAAACAAACGACCTCATACGTCTAATACACGTCAGCTGGTGGGTCTAATATACATTCACAAATATGGTGATGATATTTATACAATTATTACAGTATTGCATAACAGTAAATCTTCTATTTTTTGATGTGAATAAAAATTCATTATGTGAATAAAAAATCAAAATGGAATTTATTTGTAAAGCCTCAAAACATAACTAATGAACAGAGGAAATGTTAGTTTAGTGCCAGGAATGCCTACATTGTTCATTCTGGACCCTATTTTGAAATGGAATATTTTGAACTTTGTGTTAAATTGGGCAAATTAAACAATTTCCCATCACTTTATTTTGTAGTTGAAACAGTTGACTTGGCGATTTCTTGTGCTCAATCGATAGAATAGAAGTAATACTAGTGAAATAGCTAAGAATTTGGTTGATTGGAATAATGTAATTGGCCTAAAATGGGAGTCAAAGTCGGCAAAATCGCCGATTCGTAAATATCGCTGACACATCAAAATTCGCGAGAGCATAATTTCGTCAATTTTCCACCAAATTTCGTACTTTTTGTTTTATTACCTTCACAAAAAGATTCTCTACGATTTCATAAGAAAAAATAACAAATTTTTTTTTTGAAAATTCTTGGACACTGGTGCGTGACTCCAGATTTGGGCCTTGGACCCTGAAAGGGTTAAATAGACATTTAAAATAACCTTTATTGAAGATACTTGTTGGCATCTGGAAGATAGGGAGGAGAGAGGGAAGACTTATTGTTTGGCAGGGGAATCCCCTATCTTTGTCTTCTAAGGCCACTAGGACCACCTTGAGTCGCTGGACTCCTATCACACAAAATAACTGTCAAGAGTGCTCTGTTTCTGGCATCTCTTTAAGATTTCCCTAAAATGGGATATGGTTCTCTGTCACTGAACTTGTTGCAGAGATGGTAGCCAGCCAGCCAGCCAGCCAGCCAGCCAGCCAGCCAGCCAGCCAGGCTGGCGGCACAGCTGGCTGGCTGGCTGCATGGGTGGCTGGCTGCACGGCTGGCTGGCTACACAGCTGGGTGGCTGGCTGCACGGCTGGCTGGCTGGCTGCACGGCTGGCCGGCTGGCTGGCTGCACGGCTGGCTGGCTGGCTGCACGGCTGGCTCGTTGGCTGCACGGCTGGCTGGCTGGCTGCACGGCTGGCTGGCTGGCTGCATGGCTGGCTGGCTGGCTTCGCACGGCTGGCTGGCTGGCTGCACAGCTGGCTGGCTGGCTGTGCAGCTGGCTGGCTGGCTGGCTGGCTGGCTGGCTGGCTGCACGGCTAGCTGGCTGGCAGGCTGGCTGCATGGCTAGCTGGCTCGCTGGCTGCATGGCTGGCTGGCTGGCTGGCTGCACGGCTGGCTGGCTGGCTGCACGGCTGGCTGGCTGCATGGCTGGCTGCACGGCTGGCTGGCTGCACGGCTGGCTGGCTGGCTGGTTGGCTGGCTGCACGGCTGGCTGGTTGGCTGGCTGGCTGGCTGCACGGCTGGCTGGCTGGCTGGCTGGCTGCACGGCTGGCTGGCTGGCTGGCTGCACGGCTGGCTGGCTGGCTGCACGGCTGGCTGGCTGGCTGCACGGCTGGCTGACTGGCTGGCTGCACGGCTGGCTGACTGGCTGGCTGCACGGCTGGCTGACTGGCTGGCTGCACGGCTGGCTGGCTGGCTGCATGGCTGGCTGGCTGGCTGCACGGCTGGCTGGTTGGCTGGCTGCACAGCTGGCTGGCTGGATGGCTGTACAGCTGGCTGGCTGACTGGCTGCAAGGCTGGCTGGCTGGCTGACTGGCTGCACAGCTGGCTGGCTGCACGGCTGGCTGGCTGGCTGCACGGCTGGCTGGCTGGCTGGCTGCACGGCTGGCTGGCTGGCTGGCTGCACGGCTGGCTGGCTGCACGGCTGGCTGGCTGGCTGGCTGCACGGCTGGCTGGCTGGCTGCACGGCTGGCTGGCTGCACGGCTGGCTGACTGGCTGCACGGCTGGCTGGCTGGCTGGCTGGCTGGCTGCACGGCTGGCTGGCTGGCTGCACGGCTGACTGGCTGGCTAGCTGGCTGGCTGGCTGGCTGGCTGGATAGATGGATGGATGGATGGATGGATGGATGGATGGATGGATGGATGGATGGATGGATGGCTGGCTGCCTGGCTGGCTGCCTGGATGGCTGCCTGGATGGCTGCCTGGCTGGCTGGCTGGCAGGATGAGTTCGCAGGGTAATGTTCACTCAAGGATAGACAACGCTAGACTGGTGCGCAAGCGTAGGCAGGCAGACAAGTCTGGCACGCCGGCCGAAACTCGGGACAAAATTTGGCTGAAAAAAAGCGGTTGAAACTTGAAGCAGCCTATACTCAGGGCGGCCGAAACTCGGGGTTCCACTGTATTATTATTATTATTATTATTGTATTGTTATTATGGCAGTATTATTATTACTATTACTATATAATCACATGCCTAAGAAAAGGAAAACCCACATGAAACATGAGTAAAACAGACACTTATAAAGCAACAAACACAAGGTGTATATAACAAGTAACAATGTCAAGTTACACACATCCACACTTATAGATAAAACACTCAGGAACGGAAGTCCACTTGGTAGCATGAATTCAATTTAATTTTTTGAATTTCTTTGCAAAATTTACAATGTGTGATTTACATATTATAAAGTATTGTTAAGCACACAGAAAGCCACTAACATGCACGAGCATTTCGAGCAGAAATAAACATTTGACTTTGAAAATAATGAGCGGGAGATGGCCTTACATATTACAAATTTCACAGTTTTGGGCCCCAGTTGTGTTTCTGCATTTTCGGCCTCCGTAACTCGTTCTGCTATCAAAACTTTGCGGCCCAGTCCCTGGACCCATTATGTACCTCAGTAATCTCACCCACAGGATAGATATCGGGTGCAAAATAAAGATATTAAACAAACGAAGGAAGCCTCTCACTGACACACTGCATAAAAGCAAATTCAGGTGTAGCAATGGAAGCCTGAACCAACTCATGTCAGCTTCAATTTCAACGCTGCACTTTCTATGTTAATCATTAGCACGTGAAGACAAGTCATTGGAACTTTAATGTCCATACACTCCTGGCAAAACAGTTACTGAATTAACAATGGTGAAAGTGTTTTGTTTTCTTGGGTCAGCCTATCACGCTGGTACATAAATAACCTTCACACAGGAGAAATTTATAACAACATTTAGGTCCAACTTGGACCATTTACAAGTCCCACTAAAACACGAAGGTGAGGGAGCCAGTATATATAGGAGAGGGGGACAGGGATGAGACAGAGAGGAAGAAAGAAGGAAGTGGAGAAATAGTGGTAGAGGTAATGCTAGTAGTAGAAGTAGTAGTGATTGTGCCTAAGGGCAATGTGTGGTGTAAATATTATGCAGAAAATTTGTAGTGCGTAAATTAGGTGTGGAGTTACTAAAAGTATCAGTCGGAGGGCTGAAGAGGGTTTGTTCAGGTGGTTTGGTCATTTAGAGAATGGAACAAAGTAGAATGAATTGGAGAACGCATAAATCCGTACGGGAAGGAAGGTGAGGTACGGGCTGTCCCGGAAAAGGTTGGAGGGAAGGGGTAAAGGAGGTTTTGTGGGTGAGGGGCTTGGACTTCCAGTAAGCGTGCATGAGCAAGTTAGATAGGAGTGAATGGAGACAAGTGGTTTTTGGGATCTGATGTGCTATTGGAGTGTGAGCAAGGTAATATTTTGTAAAGGGATTCAGGAACACAGGTTAGCCGGACTCGAGTCCTGGAAATGGGAAATACAATGCCTGCACTTTAAAGGAGGGATTTGGGATATTGGCAGCTTGGAGGGAGACCTAAACTGTTGTATCTGCAAAGACAGTGATTATGTATAAGTGATGGTGAAAGTCTTGAACGATGAAAGTTTTTTCTTTCTTTCTTTCTGTTTTTCGTTCTTTTGGGTTACCCTGCCTCAGTGGGATGTGGCCAATGTGTTAAAAATGACATTACAAAAAAAAGACAATGTAATATTTTTACCTGCATTAGTAGAAACATTGCCACCAATATGGCAGCTGCCCTTTGAGCCAAGATCCAATGGTACCATGAGACCGAACTGCGATACATGGTTATCAAGGGCTTCCAGTACACAGCCGCTCTGACATGTCACCACCCCAGACAAGGTGTCTACACTTTCAACTTCGTTCATGAGGGCGGTGGAGATGATGATCTCGTCAAACACTGGAACGCTTCCGCCAACCAGGCCCGTATTGCCACCTAGTGGAGAAAAAGTGCAATTAAGTTCATTTAATATGAAGGTGGGGCCCACTTATACAGCAGGTTAAGTTCTGGGCTACAGATGTAAAGCAAAAAACACTGTAAATACATATAAAAGCCTGATAACATATTTACATTATCATATATTAAGTGACCAATAGAGCTAGGCCTAAAAAAAATCATATACAGTACACACATTACTTATCTTAAAATATTTTCATTCCTAGTTTATAGCGAGTGGTGAATATATTTATTATAGAAAGTCTGAATACATGAAAAATGGATATACAGTGAACCCTCAACCAACGATGGCATTGTCTAACCTTAAATTCGACTAACAATACACGTTAATGCTAACATGTTGCCTCGACTAACGATAAAAAAACTCGACTAACGATATTCGTTCTCGGGTACCAATTAACATCGTTAGTCGAGGGTCCACTGTAAATGAAAACTGCTGTATTAGCGAAACACCGTAAAGCAAAGTGCTGTAAAGCGAGCTCTGTCTGTATTCTACACGTCTAATACAGTGGACCCCCGCTTAACGATCACCTCCAAATGCGACCAATTATGTAAGTGTATTTATGTAAGTGCGTTTGTACGTGTATGTTTGGGGGTCTGAAATGGACTAATCTACTTCACAATATTTCTTACGGGAACAAATTCGGTCAGTACTGGCACCTGAACATACTACTGGAATGAAAAAATGTTCGTTAACCGGGGGTCCACTGTACTCTGTCTGGGGGTAATTAAATTTGATCCAAGGAAGGGGAGTATAACACCAGTTCCTTGAATCAAGAGCACTTCATTAGCATCAAGGCACACCTCCCTTGAATGGTAAGCTACTATAAAATCAACAACAGATAAATATACATTGGCTAATAAAACTGATGAGATGAATAAGACAGGAGCCTCGTGTATGGGTGACATACCCTGGGGGCACACTGCTAATTTACGCTTGTTGCAGTACGACAAAATTGCCGAGACTTCCTCAGTGGTCTTGGGCTTGAGGAGGGTCGCCGAGGATCCTCGGACTATCCCCAGCCAGTCAGTGTTGGGACCTTCGAGTTCCGCTGCATCGGTTATAGTACGGTGGGAACCCAGGAGATTGACGAAGAAGTTGATGTCGTCTCCGGTGATCTGGCTGAACTGACCCCTCGTCACTGGATACCTTCAAAAGTACATAAGTACATATACCATCAAAAGTACAGATACCATCAAAAGTACACATGTACAGATACCATCAGAAGTACACATGTACAGATACCATCAGAAGTACACACACGTTAAATACAGATACACCTACCATCCGACTTACGACCGAGTTCGGCTCCGAGAAACCGGTCGTAAGTCGAAATGGTCGTAAGTTGAACTTTACTACTGAATATCAACAAAACATTTTTGTAATGACTTTATTTTATTGTTTTATTTTGGTATTTCATGTTTTACTTTACTTTTTATGCTGTTAGTACTGTATTTTATACTGTAAGGTTTAGGATAAACACTGTGTACAACACAAATACTTGTTTATTTCCCAGAAATTTGGAATAAAAAACACGGTCATAAGTCAAATGGTCGTAAGTCGAGCAGGTCGTAAGTCAGATGGTAGGTGTATCTTCAAATGTACACACATACAGATAACTTCAAAAATACGTACAGTGGAACCTCAAAAATCGAACTTAATCCGTTCCAGGAGCTAGTTCTAAATTCGAAAAGTATGAAATTCGAAGCAATATTTCCCATAAGAAATAATGGAAATACAATTAATCCGTTCCAGAAACCCAAAAATATTCACACAAAAAATACATTTTATAGAGATTAATTACAGTTTTACATACAACAAATACTATAGTTTTTAATTATGTATAGTAATACATATAAAATAACATTTTTACTTACCTTTACTGAAGACTGGTGATGGCATCTGGAAGATAGGGAGGAGGAGAGAGGGAGTTGGGGTTAGTGTTTGGGAGGAGAATCCCCCTCCATGAGGACTTCCGGTAAAGCCCTCTCTGGGGTTACTTCCCTTCTCTGTCTTTTAATGCCACTAGGACCAGCTTGAGAGTCACTGGACCCCTGTCTCACAAAATAACTGTCCACAGTCCTCTGTTTCTGGTGCCTCTTTAACATTTCCCTAAAATGGGACATGGTTCTGTCACTGAACTTGTCGCAAAGATGGCTTGTTTCAGCTTGCTCAGGGTGGTACTTCTGCACAAACATTTGGACATCATTCCACTTGGCACAAATCTCCTTAATCTTTGAAGAAGGCACCTCATCCACTCCCTCTATTAACACCTTTCGCAACATCAGCTTCCTTGATTTGTTCTTTCTTTGACAGGATAGAACCGATGGTCGACTTGTTTTTCCCATACTTCCTGGCAAGCTCAACAAGTCTCACACCACTCTCATACTTCTGTATTATTTCCTTCTTCACATCTATGGTGTTTCTCACTTTCTTTACCACAGGGGTACCACTAGCAAGTTTCTTTGGCCCCATGGCAGCTTATTTCACAGTCCCACAAGCACTAAACACAACGAAATAATCGTAAAATGCGTGAATGAGAGCGCAGGTTAGTGTTTACTCAAGCATAAACAAAGCTAGACTGCTCACGGCACCTGCGCGGGGACGCGGACAGAGCGGGCCAGCAGACAGGTCCCGTACCCGGTGGTCCGAAAATAGGGGCGCGTTTGATAATAGGGACACAGTTTGTCCGAAAAAATGGTCCTATTTTTGAAACATTCGATATGTGATACATTCGATTTTTGAGGTTCCACTGTACATAAGTACAGATGCCTTCAAAAGTACACATGTACAGATACCTTCAAAGGTACACATATTAAGCAGAGTACATACATCATTTTTTATGGAATGTATATAACATTATTACAGCACATAAAACAGCCTTCACAGCATGCATTATTAAATTTAACAGCATGTAAAAAACCTTCACAAGACATACTATTAAATTTAACAGCACTTAAAAGGCCTTCACAGCACATACAATTCACTTCTAGAAGCGTTTTTTCTTCAATTACTTTTGAAAAAAATTCCACTAAGTACAGAATAGCTTCATAAAACAACTTACTATTTTCACAGGCAAGTGATGAAACTGTAAAGATTACTAGACAATATCTGGGGAATGGGAGGCAATTAAGTTCGATCTGAGGAATGGTAAGGAAGCTCTAATTTCTCAGATCAAAATCCCTTTGTCAGCATCAAGGATCCTCCCCTTGAAAGGTATTATGTGTACAGTGGAACCTTGGTGTTCGAACATTATTGTTATAATCATGAGCGCTAAACCTGTAGGATTATACAGTGCATGTGGGGGGGGGATGGAAGGTATTCACGCTTAATTCGGGGAACTGGAGCACAGATCTAATTCCCTAGATCAAGAGCCCCTCACCAGCGTCAAGGAACCTCCCTTGACGGGGGTGTTCGAACATACCGGAGTCTGAACAATTTTGCTCAGAAAAAGAGAAAAAAACATTGCCCCGGTCTTTGAACGTTTTTCTGGAGTCCACTTATACAGCAGGTTAAGTTCCGAGCTACTGATGTAAAGTGATTTTCGCATTACAGCACAATAAGGCCCTGACTTGATCTACACCATCATATAGTAAGTGAGCAACAGAGCTAGGCCCAAAAAATGCATAATATTAAGTGAGCAATAGAGCTAGGCCTAAAAAATGCATATACAGTACACACACTAAAAGATTTTCGTCCTTAGATTATAGTGAGTGGTGAATATACCTGGAGAGAATTCTGGGGGCCAACGCCCCTGCGGCCCGGTCTGTGACCAGGCCTCATGGTGGACCAAGGCCTGATCAACCAAGCTGTTACTGCTAGCTGCACACAGTCCAACATACGACCCAAAGCCTGGCTGGTCCGGTACTGACTTTAGGTGCCTGTCCAGTGCCTGCTTGAAGACAGCCAGGGGTTTATTGGTAATCCCCCCTTATGTATGCTGGGAGGCAGCTGAACAGTCTTGGGCCCCTCACACTTATTGTGTTGTCTCTTATCATGCTAGTGGCACTCCTGCTTTTCATTGGGGGGGACATTGCATTGTCTGCCGAGTCTTTTGCTTTCATAGTGAGTGATTTGTGTGCAAGTTTGGTACTAGTCCCTCTAGGATTTTCCAAGTGTATATAATCATGTATCGCTCCCGCCTGCATTCCAGGGAGTACAGGTTTAGGAACTTCAAGCGTTTCCCAGTAATTGAGGTGCTTTATCGCAGTTATGTGTGCCATGAGGGTTCTCTGTACATTTTCTAGGTCAGCAATTTCACCTGCCTTGAAATGTGCTGTTAGTGTGCAGCAATATTCTGATTGTAAGAAATCTGAATAAATGAAGAATGGGTACAACTGTGAACTGCTGTATTAGCGAAATGCTGTAAAGGAAAGGGCTGTAAAACGGGGCCTGCCTGTATATATTTCCTGTTTGGAGTGGCATCTAAATGGTAGTATTTATGTACCTCTGGCAAGGCAGTAATAGAGTGAAGATGGTGAAAGTGTTTCTTTGTCGGGTCGCCGTGCCTTAGCGGGAGATGGCCAGTGTGTAACTTTACCCAGGTACAAGCACACATAAGTACAAATATCATACATAGTGTAAATTATCCTCCAGGATTAACTCAAAAAGGTCAAAGTGGTTAATTCCATTGACGTCCTTGAAAAAAAAATCTTATCAACAAAAGAAGCTTTTTTTTACCTCTTGGATGTTAGTTCACATTTCGGAAAGTTCGTAACTGGGGAAGTATGAGCATAACATCGACTCCCATCACTGCAGTGGAACACCAAGCCAGAGGAAACTCTTGCTAGATTCCTGACACATGTTGCACCCAGCCATCTGCAACTTGCAACTTGCATGTTCTGTAAAAAATATAATTATTACTTCTAATTACTGTATTATTATTATTATTATTGCAATCATAACTAAGCTACAAACCTACAAGGGTCATATAGCACTCAAAGGCTGGATATAACTATTTCTTTTCTGAAGTGTACAAAGTGTCGTTTACGTGTAATAAAATACAGTGGTCCCTCAATAATCGTCCGGCGTGAAAGTCGTCCATTTCGGAAATAGTCCTGTTTTTTCGTCAAAATACTGGCTCGCAAATGGTCCGGTAACTCGCTAATAGTCCTTCATCCCGGAGGCGTACTCACGCTCTGAGCCACCTCAGCCTTTCCTTCCCAGCCAGTGTGCCATTGTTTACCAGTGAGCGACGGTCCCCTCACGTGCTCCAGCGAAATATTTCATAATATTCCATTTATTTTAGTGCTTGCAAGTTATTAAGTGCTAAATAAGCTACCATGGCTCCAAAGAAAGCTCCTAGTGCCAAGCCTTTGGTAAAGAAGGTGAGAAATACGATTGAATTTAAGAAAAACATCATTGAACAATATGATAGTGGCGTACGTGTGGGCGAACTGGCCAGGATGTATAACAAATCCCGTACAACCATATCTTCCATCATAGCCAAGAAAAAGGAAATCAAGGATGCTGTTGTTGCAAAGGGGGTGAATATGCTGACAAAAATGAGATCACCAGCACTTGAAGATGTTGAGAAGTTATTATTGGTGTGGATAAATGAGAATAAATTTAGCAGGAGATAGTCTTATGACATCGCTTATTTGTTGAAAAGGCTAGGCAGTTGCATGAGAAACAGAGAAGAGAAGTAACCCCAGAAAAGCAATTGGTACCCGAGGTGTTGATGGAAGGGGATTCCCCTTCCAAACAGTAATTCATCCAATCAGTCTCATTCTCCAGTCTTCCATACACAAAGAAGAATCGCCAATAAAGGTAAGTGTTATTCTGTTAATGTTTAATTCATCATGTCCCATTGTATTGTTTATGTACTACATGTATATTTCATGTAAAAAATTTTTTTTGTTTTAATACTTCTGGGTGTCAGGAACGGATTAATTGAATTTACATTATTTCTTACGGGGAAAATTGATTAGTAAATTGTCCATTTCGATAATAGTCCCACTTCTAGGAACGGATTATGGACGATAATTGAGGGACCACTGTACTGTTAAGCATAAAAGAAACCCACTACGATGCTGTGTATTTTGGGCAGACTAATCCTGATGCTTACACACTACTTAAGCACTTGACATAGCTTATTAAGTTTTTCTTATATGTTCAAAATGTTGTTAAACCCATATGGGTCTTATAGTGCCTGGAGGGATGGGAGGCATTCAGGTTCAACCCAACAAAGGGGTGCACAGGGCCAATTCCTTGGCATCAAGGACCGTCCCCCCAGAGGGTGAGGCACCACATGATACGCAAAATGGTGAAAATACTATTGCCTTCCGGCAGGTGGATGATGTTTTGGTCCATGGCCTGGCTGGCAAAGCTCTTGCTTCACACATGGAGGGCCCGGGTTGAATTCCCTGAAGGGTGGAAACAATTCGATGTGTTTCCTTACACCTGTTGTCCTGTTCACCTAGCAGCAAGTAGGTACCTGGGTGTTAGTTGACTGGTGTGGGTCACACCCTGGGGGACAAGACTGAGGACCACAATGGAAATAAGACAGACAGTCAGCGATGACGCACTGACTTTCTTGGATTATCCTGGGTGGCTAACCCTCCGGGGTTAAAAATCTGAACAAAATCAGGACCATTGTTAAATCAACTGTGACTTGACGATGGTCCGCAACGGACCAATTTTGGTCCAGAATCAGGGGGGGTTCTTAATAATAACAATAGCAAATTTTACATGTAATAAAATACTGTTAAGTTAAAAAAAAAAGACCAGCATGACGTGACGTTAAACATAATGACGCTTGTGGTTACACCCCCAGGGCGGCGCTGTACGACCCTTAGGGGTTTAGCGCTTAATGATAATAACTGTGGCTACACCCACAGGGCAGCGCTGTACGACCCTTAGGGGTTTAGCGCTTACTTATGATAATAATATTATTATTATTATAATCAAGGGGGAAGCGCTAAACCCGGAAGATTATACAGCGCCTGGGGGGGGGATGTGGAAGGCATTCAGGCTTAATTCGGGGAACTGGAGCACAGATCCAATTCCCTAAATCAAGAGCCCCTCACCAACATCAAGGAGCCTTCCTTGAGGGGTATGATAATAATAACTGTGGCTACACCCACAGGGCAGCACTGTACGACCCTTAAGGGTTTAGCGCTTAATGATAACATCTGTGGCTACACCCTCAGCGCAACGCTGTATGACCCTTAGGGGTTTAGCGCTTACTTATGATAATAATAACTGTGGCTACACCCACAGGGGCCATAAACCAGGGGGGGGGGAGGCACTGAGGATAAGATTTGATCCAAGGGAAGGATAAATCCACCTCCACGGATCAAGAGCCCCCTTGAGGGAGGTCACTAAAAAAAAGTCTAAAACTACAAAAAAAAATATAGGCCTTAAAAACCTGTAAAGAAAATTTGTTAAATTATTATATAGGCAGAACATTATTATTATTATTATTATTATTATCAAGGGGAAGCGCTAAACCCGGAGGATTATACAACATATAGGCAGAAGTCAAAAAATAATAGATAATATTAAGATGACATGATCCTAGACCAGATTATTATTATAATCAAAAAGAAGCACTAAACCACAAGGGGTATACAGCGCTGACTAGACAAGATAACATTGATAACTGATAAAATTCTTGCCAAGACTCCTTCAGGATACGTCTTTAAGCTTCTTCTTCTTCTTCAGGAAGTCTGTCTATCACGTCTTCTCCTTCAGGATATGTCTATCTGGACTCCTCTTCTTCAGGAGACGTGTCTATCAAGCTCCTCTTCTTCAGGACACTTGTAATTTACTTATTTTCTTCTCCTGAAGGTGACTGCCTTCTGCAGCGACTTCTTCTTCTCGGGTTTATAAAGGCCATTAACGGCTTATTTATAAGCTGTCAGAAGCCCTTATAAACCCAGGAGTAGATTTAAGATATAATTTTGTTGGGATTTTTAACCTCGGAGAGTTAGCCAGCTAGGATAACCCAGGGTTAGGGAGGGTTAGCTAGCTAGGATAACCCAGGGTTAGGGAGGGTTAGATAGCTAGGATAACCCAGGGTTAGGGAGGGTTAGATAGCTAGGATAACCCAGGGTAGGGAGGGTTAGCCAGCTAGGATAACCCAGGGTAGGGAGGGTTAGCCAGCCAGGATAACCCAGGGTTAGCCAGCCAGGATAACCCAGGGTTAGCCAGCCAGGATAACCCAGGGTAGGGAGGGTTAGCCAGCCAGGATAACCCAGGGTAGGGAGGGTTAGCCAGCCAGGATAACCCAAGGTAGGGTGGGTTAGCCAGCCAGGATAATCCAGGGTAGGGAGGGTTAGCCAGCCAGGATAACCCAGGGTAGGGAATGTTAGCCAGCCAGGATAACCCAGGGTAGGGAGGGTTAACCAACCAGGATAACCCAGGGTAGGGAGGGTTAGCCAGCCAGGATAACCTAGGGTAGGTAGGGAAGGTTAGCCAGCCAGGATAACCCAGGGTAGGGAAGGTTAGCTAGCTAGGATAACCCAGGGTTAGGGAGGGTTAGCCAGCTAGGATAACCCAGGGTAGGGAGGGTTAACCAGCTAGGATAACCCAGGGTTAGGGAGGGTTAACAAGCTAGGATAACCCAGGGTAGGGAGGGTTAGCCAGCCAGGATAACCCAGGGTAGGGAGGGTTAGCCAGCCAGGATAACCCAGGGTAGGGAGGGTTAGCCAGCCAGGATAACCCTTTGTAGGGAGGGTTAGCCATCCAGGATAACCCAGGGTAGAGAGGGTTAGCCAGCCAGGATAACCCGGGGTAGGGAAGGTTAGCCAGCCAGGATAACCCAGGGTAGGGAAGGTTAGCCAGCCAGGATAACCCAGGGTAGGGAAAGTTAGCCAGCCAGGATAACCCAGGGTAGGGAAGGTTAGCCAGCCAGGATAACCCAGGGTAGGGAGGGTTAGCCAGCCAGGATAACCCAGGGTAGGGTGGGTTAGCCAGCCAGGATAACCCAGGGTAGGGAGGGTTAGCCATCCAGGATAACCCAGGGTAGGGAGGGTTAGCCACTTAGGATAATCCAAGAAAATCAATGTCATCGAGGACTGTCTGTCTTATTTCCATTGTGGTCCTTCAATCTTATCTCCCACACCAGTCTACTAACACGCCGTACCTACTTGCTAGGTGAACAGGACAACAGTGTAAGGAAACGCGTCGATTGTTTCTACCCCTGCTGGGAATCGAACCCGGACACTCAGCGTGTGAAGCGAAAGCTTTGCCAGCCAGGTCACGGGGCCCCGTTTAGGCACAGTTACGCATAAGTGCAGTTATTATATAGTGTAAATTACCCAGAGTAACTCAAAAGTCAAAGTGACTTATTTATATTCGTGTATAAGTAAGTCTCTGTAGGCACAAGAACACATCAGTACACTTACAGTTGCCCGTGGCCTTGTGGCTGAAGCTCTCGTTCCACAAGGTGAGTGTCCGGGTTCGATTCCCGGTGGGGATAGAAACATTGGGCGTGATTCCTTACACCGGTTGTCTATGTTCCCCATCAGTAAAATAGGTACCTGGGTGTTAGTGGACTGGTGTGGGTCGAATCTGGAGTTTACCTGGAGACAAAACTGACCTAATTTGCAGGTAATGCTCTGCATAACAAGGGACTTTCTATATATTAGTATGTAATTGATGTCAGCTATGGTCGTATACCTTGTACATGTACTTGTAGAAATAAAGATATTAGTTTTTATTGTTACTTAGAAAGTACACCTGGAAATAAGTCACTTTGACTGACTTTACTCGAGTCATCCTGGAAGGTAATCTACACATAACATACAGTTACACGTAACTGTGTGTGTACCTGAATAAGCTTATTAACGAGAAGCCCCTAAAAATACTATTGTATGAGCCCAAAAAACTACTCTAAATTTAGACAAAAACCTATTTCATGGTTTTTCAAAACAAAAGGTTAAAAGTCCAGTGGCCTGGTGGCAAAAGCTCCCGCTTACACAGGGAGGGCCCGGGGGTTCGATTCCCCGGCGGGGGGGAAACATTTCGACACGTTTCCTTACACCTTTGCCCTTTTCACCTAGCAGCAAATGGTACCTGGTGTTAGTCACTGGTGTGGGTCGCATCCGGGGGAAAGTTTAAAGGGCCCCCCAAGGAAAAAAGTTAGACAGTCCTCGTGGCACTGATTTTTGGGGTTACCCGGGTGGAAACCCCCTCCGGGGTTAAAAACCCCGAACGAAATCTTATCTTATCTTTTTCAAACTTAATTTACGTTTTTAAAGGGTTTCCCCCCATTACAAGACCCACTAAAGGGCGATTTTTAGTCTCCACCGGACCAACCCTAAATATCATTCCCACTCCAACAGTAGACCTCCTTTTCGGGTACGATACTAATAAGCCACAAATAGGTCAGTTTTGCCCAGGATGTGCCCACACCAGTCGACTAACACCCAGGATGTGACCCACAAGTCGACTAACCCCCAGGCCCTATTTAACTCTAGGCGAACGGGGACAGAGGAGTAAGGTGATAACTCCAGGATTTTTTAGCAGGTGAACAGAACAGGAGATAAAAGGGAGTAATACCCGGTATTTTCGCTAGGTGAACATGATAGCAGATGTTTTAGGGAAACAGTACCGGGAAAAAAAACCAAAGGCCTCAATGTTTGTACGGGTGGTGCTTTTGATTCTTCATGCAGAAAACCCATAGTCAGTAGAACATTTCGGGAAAAGTTTTTCCAGTCCCAAAGAAAAAAAGGGCAAACAGTTCTCATTTTTTTTCAGGCGGACCCTAGGCGAAGAGGGGGATCCTTCACTTTTTGCCTGAGTCAGGGGGTCCGGTTTCCATTAAAACCCTTTTAAAAAATGCCCGGGGAGGGGGAAAAAGACCCTTTGGATGAAAAATACTCCCAGTCAAGTGACAGGGGGACGAAATGTATACCAGTCCCTTACCAAGTTATTCCAAAAAGGGTTCCCAGTATTGTATAACCCAGTCCACTGTACCTCAGTTATTCCAAAAAGGATCCTGTTTTTAACCCCAGTCCCCTGTACCTCAGTGATCACAAAAGTTCACAGGGCCCGTGTGCTAACCCCGTACCACGGCTCTCATAGGATTCACCCCGCATGTAATTTCTATCACTATAGGGGGTTAGCATGGGCCACCCCTTAACCCCCAAATGCCCTTTTTTTTTACAGACGAATCCCCCACTACTTGTGTGTCGTACTCAGTCAAGGGCCCCCCAAAGTCCTTTTCCCTTTTGTGTTTTTTTTGGGGTATAAGCTTTTAAACCCGAACGATATTTAAATGCATGGATTCGATAATTGTTAGCAAAGGTCCAAGTGGGCGACGTGTCGAGTGGGGTTTCCCCAAGGGCCAGTCCCGGGTTCGATGCTATTTTTTGTACATGTGAATGTTTTGATTCAAAAATTTCAACATATTTGACATTTGGGGGGAAAAAGATATTGCAAATATCTCATAAATTTGCTTTTTTTGTAAGGTCATCAGGAAACAAAGACCAAACCACAGACAAAAAAGCAAGGAGCAAATTTCGTGTAAAAACAACACAAACCACACCCCACCGGGGCCAGGAGCTATGGCCAACCCCCCCAACACGTCACACAGCAATCAACCTGGGCAGATTAACATCTCTTGATAAAAAAAAATTTGTAAAGGCCTATAAAAAACACAGATAATATTTACACAACTCTTTACGTTTTCTAATCATCCCCAATCCTTAAATAAAAAAAGCCCCATGGGAAAATTTCAGGTGGAAATGCCCCCAAAATTTCGCCCCCTTACTGGGCATGGCAGATTTAAAAACCCCTGCTAAAAGGGCAGTGCGAAATTGCCAAAATCTGTGAGAAACCATGGAGGGGGGTGTTTAAAGGGATTTACTAAAATGTTTCGCCGCGAGCCCCCCGGAAGGGCAAAAAATTCGATAAAAAGCCCTTTAAAAAAGGGGGAAACAGGTGCTCTCTGACCCCGGCTTTAAAAAAATTTTTCCCCCCTTTTGCTTCATGCAGCTGGGCATTAGTGAAGTGGTTTTACCTCGGGACTGCTCGTCTCGCCGTCTCAATCTATTGCTAAATAGTTTTTTCTGAATTTTTTAAAACTAATTGATTATTGGGATAACAAAATCTAAGTTACCCCGTTTTGCCTTGTTTTTTCTCAGGTAAGGTTTACACAACACACACACACACCCAACACACAACACCACACAACAACCCCCACACACACACACAGGGCTGTGCTTGAACCCCCCGCCCCACAATAGGTCGACTTTTCTTTCGTTGTCTTTGGGTTTTTAAACATTTTACCTCTGAAAAAAAATGAAAAAAAAAAATGATATAAATTATTCATAATAATAATAATAATAATAATAATAAAATAATAATAATAATAATAATTAAAAAATTTT